AAGGAAATGCAATATTTTTACCACCATGGATAACAAAATACATACTGAGAATTCATCAGGGAGAGATCACAATATATGAGTATTTGTTAAGTTTATATTTATATTCCCACTTTCCTCTTAGAGTTTATGTAATATGAATTGTTATATGCATAATATAGTTAGATGAAGAACTGTTATCAGTATAGAATATACATTTCTTTAGCTAGGTTTCTTGCAATCCTGTTCTTGTAAGTTGATCTGAGAGAAGAGAAAGTCAAAAAATGCTATACTGAATTGTGACAAGAATATTGCAGCTTCATATGTGTTTATCTACTGAACCCTCTGATTCAAAACTAGTAAATGGAGTTGGATATACTCCCTTTCAAATTATGTCTTCCAAGACAATATGCAAATAGATTTAAGATCTCCTAGTTTCATGGTTCTTTAATTTCTAAAATCATGAACATTGTATTTCTAGAAGCATTATAATGCTTCCGCATGATGCAGGTTATGTGACATCTGCATATATGTAAGTTATTTTAGAAATAAAACAATTTAAATGATGGCATGACTTAGAGGAGCAGAGGTTCAAAATCTGTGTGAAGCTCTTCTTTGAAGCTAATATGTTTTCAGTAAAGGAAAGAGTTAACTGTGTTATTTTTTTTTATACACAAGTTTCAGTCCCTCGTGTATTATTGAAGGAGTTAATGATTACCGATGTACAGCTTGCCCACCTGGATATGAAGGACAGTACTGTGAAAGGTAAGGTGAGATATTTAAAAGAATCAAAATGAAATTGTTACAAAACAGGCCAGTTCTAGAATCAACAGAGGTGCAAATAAGGATATATCCAGTATGTGTTAGTCTAATCAAAAGCCATTCCACAAACTTTTATCCATTAGCAATTATAATGAAAGGAATATGTTTTTAATCTCATAATTGATGCTGTAACTCTAAAGTGATAAATTATGTGCAAGATATTAGCAGTCATTTTATGATCTAATGAGCCATTTGATTTCTAGGATGTAATACATATTTCAGTGGGCAGAGCTATTTGATTATGTGAAGACTTCATGGTATTTCTCTGATACTTCCTTCATAACTTTCTATTAAATAATAGAAAGCACTCACTTTATGCCCCATAACTAAACAATGCAAAAGCCAACATGTCCATTTTGCCTCCATAAGCATATTGTTTGTAAAGCACAATTTCTCAATAGTATGAATAGTAAAACTAAATGTTTAACGTATTGTAAATAAAAAAGACAATAGCAATAGAAGAAAATTCATAGAAGAGAAACAATAATTGTCCTTGGAGAGGAAAAAAAGTTGAATATTATAATAAATTGATTAAAGAACATACTTGTATAGAAATTTCAAGAAGAAAATCAAGAAAATGCATATTAAGAATCTACAGAATGTGAAAAAGCTGGTTGTAAAATGCATAGAACATAAACTATGGGATAGTTGGTACATATACTAGATTGGCTTTTTATCATGTGCTGCTGAATAGGGAGTAAAATACTCCTCTGGTCAAAATGCATAATATTTTATGTGTTGTAAATTGCGTGTACATGAATTTTGATGCAATTATTCTTCAGGATAATGTAGAAAACTGCATTGATTTTAACTTACATTTCTATATTCAAAGAACACTTTTGTTTAAAACTGTGTTCAGTGCAAACGTGTAAAATTGTGAATAACAGAATTAATCATGAGTATATCTTGACTCATTCATAGAAAGCCATTTGCGCTAGAATTCTAAAGTTCCTTTTTACCACATTTTTCAATCTCTAGATGTTCTCCTGGATACACCGGGAATCCCAAAATTCCTGGTGGATCTTGTCAGCTATGTGAGTGTCATCCACATGGTGCGCTGCCTGTTCCTTGTGATCCTCTCACTGGACAATGTGTGTGCAAGCCTGGATCTACTGGCTGGAAGTGTGCAGGATGTGAACCCTGGCATGCTCGTGAAGGCATAGCATGTGTTTGTATGTACATTAATATACATTAACAGTAGATCTGGAAATTTGGTAGCTTGATTTGAAATCTTTCTGAGATAAGATATAACACTGCCATAGGCTTCTAATATGGTTTGAACATATATGAGCTTTGTTACAGTATATTCAACTGATCTTCTTAGTTCAATGGTTCCCTAAGTCACTGATAATCTAAGAAGATTTGATAAATGATGTAGGTGTCAAAAATAATAAAAATGGCATTTTTAATTGCCAAAGTCTCACAAAAACATCAAAGCTTAGAAAGCGTTGTTCAAGATTTCAAATGAAAAATTGAGGTTTGGTAAATTTGAAAATTTTTGGCAGTTTTAATTTTATTTAACATTAAACAAACCATATTCCCTTTTCACTTTTTCCCATCCTTTCCTCAAATTCTTTGACAGATAATTTGCACTATTTGATTTTTATGTGCACTCCTTAACACTGAACAAAAGACTAGCTGTGTTTTGTTGTCCTGGGATGAGGGGAGGATTGTATTTACTTAAAGTCAAAAAAATATTTATTCCCAAAGAAAGTTCTTCCCAATTTTCTTCTCAAAGTTAGTTTTAGATATTCTTAGCTCCAGTTCAGCAATGAAACTGTTGATGGTCTTTTTTTTACTTCTTTTACTACTTTTTTTTTACTTATACATTGCTTTTCTTTTAATATTGCATAAATTCTTGTAGCTATGCAATGATACACTGTTCCTGCTTTTTGTCCTTAGCACATTATTAAAATCTTGTTTAATTTCTACACTTGAACCTATCAAAATGAAATTAAAATATATTGGATGGGCAAGAAAATGATCGGTCATGTGAATTTAATTCCCTTTTTTGACATATAAAATATTCTTAATAAGCTGACATGCTTCCCAATGAAGCAAATATTTGCTTGAAATAATAGCTGGAAAAACTTAATCATAACTAGAAAGCAAACTCCTTGTGGAAAGGGTAAACCATATTTTAACCTCAAGGCTGCTGTAATGGTGGATAAAATATGCAGAGATTAAATTTTTAGAATGAGTAAAGATCTAAATAGGCTTTTTTTATATTATAGACATTCATATCATAATATGGAATAATTTTAACTGGTTTCAGTTAAAAGTTAAATATAACAATTTTTAAAGCAATAAAAAGCAGTTAAGGTTCTGGTGAAAAGTAGGCTCTTTAGAGCTCCAGTTTAAAATTCCAGAATATTTTTCTCAACAAAACAGGATTATGGTAGGGTGGATTCAGCCATAAAAATATGTACAGATCGGAATTAGGCAAATTTTGGAGTACAGATGGTCCTCAACTTATGATCACATTTCTGTTGCTAAGCAAGGCAGTTGTTAAGTGAATCAGGCCCCATTTTATGACCTTTTTGGCCATGACTGTTAAGCAAATCACCACAGTTGTTACTTGAACCTGGCTTCCCCCATTGACTTTGCTCGTTGAAAACCAGCTGGAAAAGCCACAGATAGTGATCACATGACCCCAGGATGCTGCAGCCATCATAAATATGTGCCAGTTGCCAGGTGCCCAAATTTTGATCCCATGAACATGGGGATGCTACAATGATCATAACTGTGAAGAACAGTTCTAATTCACTTTTCTTAGTACCATCGTAAATGGTCGCTGAACAAATGGTTTTAAGTCAAGGACTACCTCTATCAAGCATGCCTACTATTAACACTAAAAGAGCAACTTTGAAAATCCTGATTTCCAGCATTCAGTGTGAGTGAGAGAGAGAAAATATTGCATGCATTATTAAAAGTAAACAAAACTGTAAATTGTAATACCAGTAATCAATTGCCAAAGAAGGCGGAAATTTATTTTGCTAAGGAAGCTGATCAAGGCTTCTTTTCCTTGCCACCCTTACATTCCACCTGCTTCACAGGTGAACATTTGTCTCAAGTCATATACATTGATTATATAGACAAGCTTGCAACTTTTTAAATAGAAAAATGATTGTTAGCTTTCTGCTACATTTAAACTCGTGTTGTATTAGCTTCTGTAAAATAGATGCATACATGGTATTTTAAGATTAGATAGATAGATAGATAGATAGATAGATAGATAGATAGATAGATAGATAGATAGATAGATAGATAGATAGATAGATAGATAGATAGATGGACGGACGGACGGACGGACGGACGGACGGACGGACGGACGGACAGACATACATGCAATCTAACTTATCAACAATATATCCAAGCCTACCAAAATAAACAATTATGATACTGCCCAGCTCTCTAGTGCCTCAGTAGTCTCCATGCTGCAAGCATGCTTTAGCTCAGGGGTGTCAAACTCGCCATGTCACGTGACATCGTGACTTTTTTCCCCTTCCCAGAGCTGTGGTGGGCGTGGCTTCCACATGATGCATCCGGCCCGTGGGCCGGCAGTTTGACACCCCTGCTTTAGCTCAAGCAAATTCACCTTTAAAGTAGGCTTGAACTGTTCTTTGTTTTAACAACAACCATAAAGGCCAGAAGGGGACAACTCTTGTATTGCTTTTGAATCCTTCTGCAAGACCTCAAAACCTTCTTCAAAGCAAACTTTGTAGAATTTGAGGAAGAGAAAAGGGGTCTCAAGCAATCATCTGCTTAGAAAATACTTAATTTCATCCAGTGTGCTTCCAATTAATGCCTTACTGAAATGCTGCATGGTTTTTGCTTTTCTCCATGAATAACTGTAATCATCTTGGTTATAATGCTGTATTTGTTAGCAGTGAACACTAATTCTTACTGACAGTTTTATAGACTAAACTCGGGTGATATTTAGTCATGTATAAATTATATAATTATCATTTTGTAAGATTTCCATTGCTCCAGTTTAATCCAGTCTTTGAGTAACTGCACCTTGTCTCTTTTATTAAAGAAGAGACAATAATGTGTCTCCTCTTTTCAACTCAATTTTCAACCTGGAGTTATTAATTCATGCTAAATGTTCATAGACCACATAACAAGAAACAGTTATTTGTTAATTTAGAGTATTTTCATGTCTTTATAAGCAATTCGGGATTTTTATCATGCTGAATTAAGTTGGTTTTCATTTGCATCCCTTTTTATAGTATTTATTGTCTACTGCCTTGAGCTTAAATAGAAAAAAAAGTAAAACCAGGAAATCTAATAGTGTTTGCTGATTTAATACAACAAATTATTCCTTTTTCTCCCCAAAATCTAAGCCTTTCTGCTATTTATTTCATTAATAGTTCCTGAACATCTATCTAACAAAACTGCATCATTCCTTGACCAGCAAGTAGATGTTATGTAAAATTCACAGCTTGATGTAAATCTTTATATTAGATATGGAAACATACTTTCTCTTTGAGTGATACAAGGAACATAAGAAAACTTAGATCACTAACAGATTTTTGGGAAATGTATATATAAAGTAGAAAGTATTGCCTTCTTACTTGAGCAATCATAGTGTATTTCAGTTCAAAGAAACAAATCACTGGATGGAGAGCATGGAGTGCAAGGCAAAAAGAAGGAAAAGAAATAACTGAAAAATAACTTCTCAGTGCCTCCTTGTACAATCCCCAATTGCCTTCTTGTTTCATTAAATCAATTTGCCTCTCCTCTAGTGACTTGCTTTGCTGTTTTATCTAGTTCTGCAGTTGAAAGGTACCGTTGTAGCTGACCGAAACAGCACATACCTGTTTTTAAAATGAGAAAAATCTGTCCTAAATTTAATTGGATATAAAACAGCACAAGAGGGAATAAAAGTTCATCAATTGTTGACTTGTAGAAATACATCTCTAACTGGGTAAGGAACTTGTGCCTGCAAATGTACACAAGCCATATATGCAGGCAAACAGTTGCTTAGGATATAATGGTTTATGCCAAGATGCTTTTAGATGTCATTCCCCTACTAGAAAGAGAACATGCAACTCTTTAACTTCCATCAATGCAAACCAAAGATGCATGACCAGGGAGGATGAAAGTAACAGTCCAATAATTGGAAGTTGTTGTTGTTAGTTGCGAAGTCGTGTCCAACCCATCGCGACCCCATGGACAACGTTCCTCCAGGCCTTCCTGTCCTCTATCATCTTCTGGAGTCCATTTAAGTTCACGCCTACTGCTTCAGTGACTCCATCCAGCCACCTCATTCTCTGACATCCCCTTCTTCTATTGCCCTCAATCTTTCCCAGCATTAGGCTCTTCTCCAGTGAGTCCTTCCTTCTCATTAGGTGGCCAAAGTAATTGGAAGTTGCACCATTGTAATTTGTGGTAAGGCAAACAATATAGCTTAGGGAATCATGACAATGACTACAATCTATTCATCACAATTTTTTTTAGATAAAGTTATTTTTTTCCTCTACATCATTAGGAAATGTAGAATTACTGATCTACCACTATGCTCAGTATTCATTTGACATTGCATGTTTAATATATGTAGTCTTCAACTTATAACCTTAACGAAGCTTGCCCATTATGGCCATAAGTCATGATGGCTATAAAGTGGGTTATCATGTGACTGACTCAATTTTATGACCTTTTCTGCAAAAGTCATTAAGTGAGCGCCGTGGTTAAGTGAACCCATTTTTCACTATGGGACATTTTTGCAGAAAACCAGAAGTAAATGTCAGTTTTCACCAAAAATGTCATAAATCATGATTACATAACTATGGAATGCTGTATACAATCACAGTTGTGCACTAGTTGCCAAGCACCTGAAATGCTGTCATGTGACCATGGGGGGGCTGCCAGAACTTTGGACTAAAGTAGTAAATACCTTTTGGGGAGTCCGTCGTAATCTCAAACATATGAACATATGAACAGTCATAAGTTAAGGACTACCTGTATTTTCTTTCTGACCCAGTGGTTTGGTTCAGAGGATGATTAAATAAGATCATTACATCACTGCTATTCGGCAATAAATCAACCCTTGTGTTAGTTGATTATTAAAACTCTCTTTTCTTTTACCTGCTGCCTTTCCTAACAGAACAGAGACAACTGGGATTGACAATGAGGAGATTGGCCGGCAGATGGGTAGAGAATATTGCAAGTGAACCATGGGGAACAGCCTTTAGTGTCAAATTAAAGCTCTTTATTGAATAGGTTGGGTGCAAAGTAAGAATAGCCTTGAGTTATTAACACACTCTGGTAAATTGCAGACAAGGTCAAGGCCTTATCTATAAATCATCTATAAATATGAAATTTGACTCACCAGAGAGGGAAGAATATCTAGAAAAAGACTTCTTCGATGATCATGTATCTTTTCTTTGGTTTTTAAAAGGTTATCCTTTCATTTTAATGGACAAGTCTTCTTAGCACATCAGGGTGAGGAATTGGAACTAACCCAAGCACTGAATCATAGGCAATTCATATTTCATTCAACGTTACTTATTTATTTGTATTTATTTATTAAATATCTGCACTGCCCAACTCATCTAAGTGATATGTGCAAAGCAAAGAGAATATAATTTCCTGTTTAACCATTAGAATAATAATCTTTCTGTGTAGAATGCAATTCCTACTTGGAGAAATCATACACATATGCAGATGGTTAGCTATTTATGATAGTTTTAAAAAATTGAAATGCAGTTATTCATTGTATGTCCAAATATTGTCAAAGTAGTTCAGTAATGTTGCCCATTAAAAACTAAGTGGTTCGATAAATAGACATCTTTCACCACAAAAAACAAAGAGATGCTAATTAATTTAAATCAATCATAAACAAAGATTTAAACTAGGAGCTTATTAGCTTGTTTTTTGCAATCTTTACATACTAGCCTGGCTCATAAACCAGACTTCATAATATGGTTTATTTAGCTTTAACTTAGCATATCATTAAATTTTAACCACTTGAGGGTTTAGGGTTGGATTTTAGTCCTCTCCAGACCAAAAGGATCTGGTGATGTTAGAATGGTGGTTTAGATTTTTGTGAATGCTTATCAATAAAAAAAAGTGCAATCACTCTGCCTTGCTTACAGAATTTTGAGGATTATCATCTTTTGTATTTTCCTCCTTTCTTTTTTCCTACCCCCAAAATATTGCTAAGCTGAGAAAGGTGGAAACACGTTGCAATTTTAGTAAAAAGATCTTTCCATCTGGAAATGCATATTGGAATATGCATAAATGCACTATTCACCCACTACATATTCCCTAAATCATTCTGTCCCTTGTTCTGTACATCAAGTTTCTGCATACGTCTGCATAATTCCCAGCCTTGAGTGTCAAATATTACTAATATATTTCCTTAAAATGCTCCTATAATTATCTCTTCTTTGGCTGGCATTGTTTCAATTGCTTTACCACTATTTCTCCCATTACTCTCTAATTTAAGTCTCTGCTATTAATATTGATATATAATTGAAGTGGGCCTTAAGTATCTATTACATTAATTTGTTTAAATCTTTTCTTGCCCTTTGCTCTTCTGTTACTCCTCCCCACCTAAAGTAAATAAGATTTTAAGCTGCTCTAGGCTGTGCAATGTGATTTGTATTTGTTATTCTAAAAATTATATATTGAGCTCTTATCTAAAGAGTATTTTATGTCACACTGGCCTTCTCACTAGATCTGGACAATTTTATATCCATTTATCCAATCTACTAGAGACATCTTTGTTTCTCTATCTTTTATTGCTCCATGAATTTTTAGGAACCAGTTACTGAATGTTAGTGGCCTTATATTTTTGAGAATTTTATGTATACTATAAAATGTTTCTCAGTTGAAATAAGAAGTATTTGCCTCAGATGTGGAACAGGAATAAATATTTTTTATTGTCTTCTTTCACAGCTTGTGATGATGAGTGCACTGGTGTCCTTCTCCGTGACTTGGATCAGTTAAATCAGATGACTCTAAGTGTTAATCTTAGTGGACCACTTTATCCACCATATAGAATGCTTTATTCCTTTGAAAACACAACCCAAGAATTAAAGGTATAATAAAGTCCATCAACGTGGTCTGGATCTCACATAGTAGCATTATTTTAATCAATATATGTTATTGTGCTTATATTTTTTAAAAAAACATGCATTAATGGTTTAACTGCTTTAACCATTATCATAATGAATTGATTCTTCAATTCTTCTGATTGAAAAAAAGAATTGTTAATATAAAGAAATCATAGAGGTATTATAAAACAACTTGTCAAGTGCTAAGGAAATCAGGAAATTCAGGCAGTTCTAATTAGTATAAAGATTTATTGCAAGCTCTCTATAAGAATCTGAGCTACTAACGGTCAAGGAAAATTAGCAGGAGTTAAGAAGGGCATTCAAAGTGGGCTGGACTTAGATCTCTTGTGAGTGTGCATGGACTCATGACTGATTATGTGTTTGACCCCTCCCCCAGGCTCAGCCTGGCCATCTCCTACATAACCTTTCTAACATGTAATATATTTAAGCAGGCACTTTACATGTTTAATAATGGTAGTTTTGCCATATGCACGTATGGCTTATCTTCTACATAAAGATATTCAGATAAATTATTTTCATATACATCATTACAGTAATTGAGATTAAGATGGAGCTTCATTCACCAGGATGGAAAGCATGCATTTTTATACTAGTAGTATTATACCCACAAAGTAAATGTTCTTTTTTTTTTTTTTGCTTCAGCATTTATTGTCACCTCAGCAAGCACCAGAAAGACTTCTTCATTTGGCACAGAAGAATTTAGATACTCTTGTGATAGAAATGGATGAACTGCTGACAAGGGTGAGCTTGGCAAGCAAATGGCAAATAAATGAATTCTGAATTCATTTAAAATAATGGGATCTCATGACTTTATCTCAGCTTACTGGAGCCACATGACTGCCAGATTGCCAGGATTCCATCTGTATTTTCTTTGTAATGTCTATATGCAAAAACATACAGGACATTGATAATATAATTTCTAATGGATTGATTGATTAATTCATTACCAGCATTTTTGTGACACCTACCTCAGAAACCCTAGGCTACTGCCAGGATTTAATTTAACAAAGATTTCTGGTAGCATTGAAAGCTGTTCTACATATCAGAAGAAAACATTTATAAAATGTTAAAACAATGATGAATTAACCAACACCGTGTCTATCTACTAATCCACCCATTCAAACCATGATAAAGCAAAATGTGGAATCAATTTCAAAAGGGAGAGAATATTCTCAGCTAATTAGTGTTCTGCTCCAGATGACCAATACAAAAGTACAAAAAAAAATGTGAACAGGACCTCATTGCAGCAGTAAAAGTCCCCATCCACATTTCCAAAATATATTCTGTACATTTGTCTTGTTTGCAAGACAAAAATAAAAATGTAACTGAACAATAGATCAAAGGAATAGATGCGAAAGCACCAACTCATTGTCCTCTGTTTTTAAAAGCCGATAGTTTTCAATGGTTGCAAAAAGAAATAAGGCTATTTGGCAACTGCCTGATTCAAAACTCACTTTATTCCAAGCACACTTCTCACAGTTTTATTTGTTTATTGAGATGAAATATCTATAGATACAAGTATCTCAGCAAGTGAACTGTTTCAGTAGAACCAGCATATCTCTTGAGTACATTAGGGTATATTCTATGATTTATATTTTTGCCAGCCTTTCTTTGAAGAAAGGTCTGTGGTCTCTTCTCTGATAATGATGAAGTTTCCAGCTGGCTGTTTACAGCCTGGTTTCCTGAATTCTTTCTGTGTGGGGAAGCAACTTTGACAAAATAAATTACAATGCAGCTTCTTTTCCAGTGAAACGCATTTCCCATTTGCTGTACCCATGCTTGTAGGTTGCTTCAGTGGCAGGTGAGAACATTCAAACCAATGACTACAGCCTGCAGGCATGTAAAGAATGGCCAAAATTGTCGATGGGGAAGGTTGAAGAGAAATAAATTGTCTTAGAGCAACTAAAAAAAAAAAACCTCTTCGTTCCCAGTTCTCCACAAAAAGAAAAGAAAAAATTACTAGCACATAAACTCATCGCTATGCCGTCCATATGCAGTTTGGGGCAGGGAAGAGCCCTAAACAACAATTGGGCAGATTCCTTACAAAGAGAAGGCACAAAAGACAAATTCTTATCAATTTCATTTCAGTTTTTCACCAGCTAAATCAGCTCACCTCAATATTTTCTGTGCTTTAAAGCAAGCAGTATGAATTTGTCTATTTAAAAAAAAAAAGAGTTGTTAAACGCAGGGGTAGTCAACCTTGGCTCTTTTATGACTCGTGGACTTCAACTCCCAGAATTCCTGAGCCAGCTAAGCTGGCTCAGGAATTCTGGGAGTTGAAGTCCACGAGTCATAAAAGAGCCAAGGTTGACTACCCCTGTGTTAAAGGAAGATTTGTGAATTTATTGAAACAATCTTCCCTCATCAAAGAGGGAAGAATGTTATGTCGGCTGAAACCCAAGAGACGGGCAATAGGGTTTGTCTAAAGTTCCCACCAAGAAGCTGGAAATCCCAGCTAGTTGAGCTGGAAAAATTAACCTGTACAATGGCTGAATGCTGACAGATGTGGAACCACATAGCTCCAAAATAGATTTTGTGGGCAACTCACAAGCCCTGTGTGGAATGTCCCAGTGCTAAAATGCTCTTGGCTCTGGTCTTCCTGGCATAATCAAAAAAGAAAATACTCAAAGCATATTTCCTTCCTAGAATATTTACTATAGAATGAAATCGCTAGGACTATGCATCTCTTTCAAAAGATGTGCTTTGGAATGCACAGGATGAGTTTTCAAATAATTAAAGCAGCTGAAGTTTTTTCATGGCTGCTTTAGAAGTTGCATTGCATGGGGATAGGGCCAGGATTGGGGAGATGATAGGCTACTGTGCCAGGTACACTGTGTTTTTGTTTTTTTTTAATTAATAGGTTTTTTTTCCCCTTGAGTCTTCTTCTTATTTATATCTCTGTGGACAAAAATTCTGTCAATAGCCAGCAAATTAAAATAAACAATGGCACTATGTCATATAAACTCTTCTTTATTTTCTCTTACATGTGTTTTTAATTACAAAGTTCTAAAATGAAACATAGAAAAGGGGCTTACTTTTAGCATGTTTTAAGTTTTTAAAATGTGCAATACCATTTATTTAGAAAGGAAGTGCAAAGAAATAATAAATTTTAATTTGTAACCCAACAGAGGCACACAGCAATAGAAAAAGAAAATCCTGCCTCAAAGTTAAATCTCAGTTGTGATTTAGATCCTATGAAGCAAACCTCATTTAGAAAGGAGGGGGTGAAAAGTCTGTTATTAAAACCTTTGTTTTCTGAAAGTAAAATCCTCCTGAGATGACACCTCTCCTGTTGGTTATTCTTTTCATTAGTAAAAACTGCAAACTACAAAAACTGGAATTTTCATTAGTTATCAGGTAGAAGATTATATCCATAGAAAGTCTGCCACCTAGTGATCAAAAGAAAAAACGAAGAACTGACTCCACATTGATGAAGTTTGGATGTGTTTGCTGGACAAACTCAAAATCCATATTGGGCAATATGTTAATTCTATGCATTCAAAAATGTCCAAGTGTTGAAAATATCTCTAATCTCTTCATTAGGGAACATGTTAGAAAACTCATAGAATAAAATAATGGATTAAAGGAAGAAAAAAAATGCTATTAAGTTGACAAAATCAGTATGGTCAGTGTCTAAAGATGACGTATGGGTCAACTGCCCAATTTCCTTGGCTAAAGAAAACTAAGGAGGTGAAAAAAATAATGATGATGATAAATGATACGCAAGACAAAAATAAAAACCAATTTTGATAGAATGGATCTTTGGAAAATAAAATGTTAGTTCTTCCTTCGATATACTTTCTCCCTATATAGTTACATTTGTTTGGAAGAGACAGAATATACTAGAATTATGCCATTTGAAGATTTTAATAGCAAAAATCCACACAGTCACTAGAAAAGATATAAGAGTTTTTCATCTTTCTTTGTTACTGCTTAATGGTCAGGGGGTTTTTTTTTGTCCATATGTGCTAACATATACTTAGTGTCATTTGTGTTTCCAAAAACAACCAATATTATTGTTATATTGTTTTTAATTTTTTGGTTAAATTTCACTGTAGTAAAAACAAATCCTTAAAACTATTTTAATAATTGATTTGGGTTGGTAAATTTATAATGTAACTATATGATAAATTACCAATCTGTAGCTATATTTGCTTATAATGGATTCCACGCACCAGAAATTAGGTCCATAAAATATATTGGTCTCAATTATATATCACTGTATTTATATATTATATTAATTGGATCTAATGTGTTATGTGAAACCAGCAGTATATGGTTTATTCAATAAACAAAGGGCCACATTAATAATGTGAAGTCAACCAATGACGTTTCCTATTGTACTGCCCTCCCACTCACACACATACTGTGTGACTGTGGTTTAGTGGGTTTACTAATATTCCCCAGCAATTCCCTTCACCAAAAGCCCAGAACTATCCCAATCAAGTCCAGCCACGAGCAGACCAAGTTTAGTCCACAGAGCAATGCCCCAATAGTCCACAAAGCACTTGAAAGTTGTTCAAACAAACTAACTCCACCAGACAACTTAAATACACCAGGCAAAACTTAAATCCACACAAAAGAGAACTCATGGGGCAAGAAAAGTTCAGAGTCTCCAAAACACAATTCCAAACATGGTGTCAATCCAGAGTGAAGCAGGAATCACGACGATCAAACACACAGCTAGAAAACAAACGTGTTCCCAGCAACTCCTCCATCTGTCTGCTGTGAAAATAGCCAGCTTCCGGTGCGGCCCATCTCAAGTAGTCTGGTTGACCTTCTCTGCTCCTGCCTTTTCTCTGCACTAAGTGTTCTCGGATGAGGTGCAGAAAGCAATTCCTTCTCCTCTTCCCTAGCTGTCTGCCACTGCAAACTTTCCCCAGCTGAAGCCTCCACCAAATCCCTTCCAGATGGCCGTTCAGAGCCATCAATCAACTCACTTCCTGACATACTAGGAATCGGCCCATCCTCCCCTGAGCTAACAACTGAGGAGGTATCTGGGGAATCGTTCAAGAGAGACATCACACCTAGATCTGTATTGTATTGGCTAGTAGAAAGGAGAATCTTACCAATTTCCTTCTTCCCAGAGTTCTGTCTGATCATGTAGAAAAGTTTTAAGCTTTTTCCCCTCCTCATTTGGCAAGATATTACAAAGGCCAAAGAGTCTCTAGGCATATAAAATAATGTATTTCACTTTGCAGCTTCTCATGTTAATGTTCCCTTTACTATTGTAAACCAACATTCACTGAGAGTTCAGAATCTCAGTGATGTGGTATAATTTCAATATCATTTTATTTCCATATTTTTAATTGGTTGGCTATCAATATATGAACAATAGAAAAACAATATCTCTCTAGACCATTCAGACAGATGGAGTATCTCCTTGTCATGTTCATTAATTACACTTTTCTTCAATCTGTTTTGTACTTATATTCTTTCCCATACACCTGACAAATTAGACCCACTGGATATTGAGGTCTTAACTTCCAGGACATTGCAGATTTGGCATATCTGAGATTTATTTACTTCTCCAGCAACAAGAGAGAAGGGGGTAAACGCGAATTCCTATTTTTGATTTGTCCCACAAAGGATGTATTTAGAATTGTGGTTTATATTGCAAAGTAGGAGGGTTTTATGGTTGATAAATTACACGGTAGGTATATGTCAGGTGCAAAAAATCAGGAACCAGGATAGAGTTCAAAAGTACTACAAGTTTATTTCACGTTCCCTATATACAAGAATCTGAACTACTAATGGTCAAGGCGAATTGGCGCCAGATAAGAGTCAATGGACTTCAAGGGGAGTCTGGACTTAGGTATTTTTTAGAGTCATAGGGGATCCAGACTGATGGTGCATTTGATCCCACCCTCAAGTTCAGCCTGGTCATCTACACAGTATAGTCAAATAAACAAATGATGAATTATTCATTCATAATTCATATTTTTATTCATAATTGTTCTGAAGTGCTACATAAGTGTTCTTAAGCAAGTGACATGTAACACTAAAATCAGTAGGACTGAAGTGCCTAATCAAATCCTAAGAGATTCATTATTTCAATTGGGACACCAATATTTCCATCAGAGTCTTACATATTTCAGGGTGTGAACAAAACCATTTTTTTTTGTCTAGAATTCCTTTGTGTCCTATTCTTTCCAATGTGTTCTCCAAGAAATGAAAAATTGAGCCTCTGGTGGCCCCTTAATGATAGAAGTGGTTATAAAATGTAATTGTGTACTTGGGAAGAGTATGTGTCACTTCCAGTATATCTGATCAATAATTCATTGATCTCTTTTTGCTTGAGGAAAGGTTTCCAAGTAGATTCAGACAGATGGAGTATCTCCTTGTCATGTTCATTAATTACACTTTTCTTTAATCTGTATTGCCAGGCGACCAAGGTGACAGCAGATGGGGAACAAACTGGACAGGATGCTAAGACAACTAATGAGAGAGCGAAGTTGCTTGGACAGCTCATCAAAGTCACCCTCCAGGCTGCAGAAGGTAAGAAAGGGAAAATGCCAATGGTTTCTTAAGGAAAGGAAAGCAGCACATTTTAAGAATAATTATATAAGACACTGAGAGGATCGGTTGATTAAAATACTGGACTTTTGTGTTAAACCACAGAAACTATCGTTCAAATAATTGCAGGCTTCCTGAAATCTAAGGAGGGTAGTTTGTTGGTAAATTGGCAATTACGACCACAGAACAGCAGAAATTAAATGTTCTCCTTCAGGAACATTTTTAGTCTAGAAGAATAGCTATTATGATTAAATAACTAATGGGTAACTACTGCTTTGCTGTTGTTTATTTTCAGCTCAGTAAAAATTTCATGTAAGAGAAGAGGAAAAAAAGCACCTTATAGTTTTAGTACTCTACAAGGTGCATTAAGCGTACATTTTTTAATTTCTCAAAATGGCTTTAAAAATACATTATTTCTTGCTGGAAATGAACATCTGCTTGCATAAGGATAGATAGATCAAGCTGGCAGGAATAGCCAACACTCCAAAAGATAGGCTTAAGATACAGAAGGATCTTGATAGACTTGAACATTGGGCACTATCTAACAAAATGAAATTCAATGGTGAAAAAAGTAAGGTTCAGTGGTACCTTGCTCAATAGTAGCAACTGTGAGAGGGATCTTGGAGTCCTAATCCACAATCATTTAAATATGAGCCAGGAATGTGCTGCAGCTGCCAAAAAAGCCAACACAGTGCTAGGCTGCATTAACAGAGGGATAGAATCAAGATCACGTGAAATGTTAATACCACTTTACAATGCCTTGGTAAGGCCACACTTGGAATACTGCATCTAGTTTTGGTCATCACGATGTAAAAAAGATGTTGAGACTCTAGAAAGAGAACAGAGAAGAGCAACAAAGATGATTAGGGGACTGGAGGCTAAAACATATAAAGAACGGTTGCTGGAATTTGGTATGTCTAAATTAATGAAGAGAAGGACTAGGGGTGATATAATAGCAGTGTTCCAATATCTCAGGGGCTGCCACATAGAAGAGGGAGTCAAGTTATTCTCCAAAGCACCTGAAGGCAGGACACGAAGCAACAGATGGAAACTAACCAAAGAGAAAAGCAACCTAGAATTAAGGAGAAATTTCCTGACAGTTAGAACAATTAATCAGTAGAACAACCTGCCTCCAGAAGCTGTGAATCCTCCAACACTGGAAGTTTTTAAGAAGAGACTGGACAGCCATTTGTCTGAAATGGTACAGGATTTCCTGCCCAAGCAGGGGGTTGGGCTAGGTGACTTCCAAGGTCCCTTCCAACATCATCATCATCATCATCATCATCATCATCATCATCATCATCATCATCATCATCATCAAGATATACATGCATATTGAGACTCAGCAAATTATATCCCTAAAAGGAATTTGATTCTGTAAACTTCAGAGTGCAATTGGGAATAGTAATTAGAAGGGTTATAAAATATACTAAATAAAAAAGATCAGACAGATATAATTTTTTTATTGAAAACTTGATATCATTCTTAGATCTGAGATGTGATTATTTTCCAGAAATGCTGAATAAAATACCATGCACACATTATGTAACATTGTCTGAAATGGTATAGAGCAGGGCTTTTCAAGTGTACCACCAGTGGTACTTTGGCACCTGGTAGGTGGTACACGACCATCCTGGGCAAGTGTAGCTGGGGAAGGGAATGAGCTGAAGTGGCGGCAGTGCCGCACAAGCCTAAGGGAGAAGAGTTGGAGCTGCAGGGTTGTCGGGGCTTGGCAGAAGCCCCAGGATCTGCGCACATGGCTACAAGCTGATCGGCACTTCTGTAGAGCTGTCGGGGCTCAGCAGAAGCCCCAGGATCAGCGCCGGGCTCCAGCTGATTGGCGCTTCCAGAAGCAGTGCATAGCTGGAAGTGCAGAAGGGAAAAGGAGGAAGAGGAGAGAGAGGAGAGGATATAAAAAGAGGAGATTTTGGCAGGAAAGGAAGAGGGAAAAAAGACAACGGGGTAAAAAGAAGGGGATGGAGAAAGAGAGACGGAGAAGCGCAGCCTTGAGGAATCAGTTGGAAGACCACCAAAAAGAAAAGAGGGGGAGGAGAGGATATATAAAAGGAGGTGGTTTTGGCGGAAGAGGGGGGAAAAGACAACAGGGACAGAGAAAGGGATGGAGAAGAAACTGGAAGGAGAGCCCAGCAGGCAGGGAGGAAAAAGAAAGAGAGAGGAAGAAGGGCCAGCTGGCCAGCAAGGTAGTAGTGAATATTAATAAATATGGATAAATTCGTCATACATTTGTCAGTGCAAAGGGAAAGTGATTCAGCAAAGGAACCGCCACCGAAGAAATTAAAACTGGTACTTTTTTCCTTTTTTTATGGTTTATAACCTTTTATTAGATTATAGAATAAAATACAAAAATACAAAAGCAAACGGCAGGACACAGTGGGGAGGAAAAGGGGGAAAATGTGAGGGGGAGAAGGGAAAAAGAAAAGATAAGGCATTGATTTCCGACTTCCTCTGTTGCAGTAGAAGGAAGCATTAACATCGACCCTCAATGTTTTACTTTTCCACAAAGGTATAAACTAGCCATTTCTATAACAACAAATGAATCTAATCAGTAGAACCCCAAATTCCCCCCCCTTTTTTTTTTTAGTCATCAAGTTTTTGATACCTTGCTAAGCCCTGATGGTACTCAAATATTGTCATGTCCTAAAAGTGGTACAATCTGAAAAGGTTGAAAAGCCCCGTTATAGAGTCTCCTGCTTGAGCAGGGGGTTGGACTAGAAGGCCTCAAGATCTCTTCCAGCTCTATTCTGATTGGCTTATTATAAATAGGTTATGGTCCAATATATGAAACATGATGTCCAATCCTTCTGTCTCTTTATTTATTATTGGAGTAATGGGACATATTTCTAGTCTCATACATGAGGAATATCATAGGAACATTTCAATAAATGAATGGAATCAAATGAATATGCTAAACATTATCTGCTTGCATTTTGTTGACAAACATAATTCGCCATCTTTCTGCAGATGTAAATGATGCTGCTTTAAAACTGAATGAGACACTTGGGATCCCAGACAAGGCACTTGACAAAAGCTTTCAAGAATTACAAAGTGAAGTTGACAAAATGATGGCAGAACTTAGGAAGAGAAAATTGGAAGTGCAAAAGGCAGTAGCTCAAGATGAATTAGAGTAAGTGGTAAAGGGGAAAATATAAATGAAATAATAATTGATCTTACTGTGCCTGTAATCAAATTTCCTTTCAGTTTTGGGGAAAACTCTCCCTCCCTCCCTCCCTCCCCCCCCCTCTCTCTCTGTGTTTGTGTGTGTGTGTTGGATCAATGTCATTGAGTCCTTAATACCCCCAGATTCTATCTATTTTGTACAGCTTTATTAATAAAAAAAACCTAACCAGAGTTTTCTTGGATTTACTTTCATCCTGAATTATGATATATTTACAACTATTACCTCAAAAATGAGATTAGGAATAAATTTTAGAACAGTGAGGCTTGAGGAAGCAACAGCTTTGGTCACCTCTGTAAAAGGCTCTTTTTAAAAAAACCACATAGATAAAAGTACTGAGTTTAGAGAGTCTTTGGTGAAGTTAGCCACTGGAAATAGAAACTAGATCCATCAATCTGGGAATTTCAGCAGAAATGCAGAGTTTTGCAGGTGAAATGACTTTCTGCTTCTGTGAATCATCAATAAGGAGCCCAAAGGTTGAGATTAGTCTACTTCAGAGGATCTCTGCTTTGAACTTGATATTTGCAACTTCTTTCTGTATCAGCCTGATTCACTATTCAGTTCAGGATCTAATTAAATACAATGCATATATTTGAACAATTAATGAGGTTATGCCTGAATCTGTCAGCAAGAGACAAGCTAAGGAGCTGTTTAATACCTGCTAAAACCCATAAGCACTGCAAAGCAATATCATGAATGAAACATGTCCTAATGGATAGCTGCATAAACTAAGTCCATTTTTAAATCCCTATCAGAAGAAGATAGAATGAACAGAATGCAAGATCTATTATTCAACATTGTTTATGGTATGCTGTAGGTCAGCAGAAGACCTCTTGAAGAACATCAACAAGCTATTTGTAGAGCCAAGGAAGAAAACTGAAGACCTAAACAATGAAGTCAAAGAGAAACTAGCAGACTACCATGATAAAATTGATGATGCTCTGAACCTGTTAAGAGAAGCAACTAATAAAATTCGGGAAGCAGACAGACTATCAGCAATCAACCAAAGAAACTTGACAGCAGTAGAGGTGGGTGCTTGGTCTTAAAGTCCCTTTTACTGACTTTTTCCATGTATAATCAATCAGAGGTCATCTGAACAAGATAAGGAGCTTTATTTTCTAGTTAAAAATAAAGCCCAAATGCTATGGATATAACTTAGTGAAATCTTTGATATATTATTTAAATTACTATTTGGAATAAGTTACAGCAGCAAAATTATTATTGAAATAGAAAGAAAATGGAAAGAAATTCTAGTGACTAGTTTGTGGTTAATATATAATACATATAATGTATAGTAATTCAAATAAACTAAACCCCTTAGAGTCCTGTATGGTCCTTACTTCATGCTCTATGTTGATATTCTAATCACATACACACAGGGAGAGACAATTAATCTTCAATATTAGTATGGCTACACTTTCTTTTCTCTCATGCTCTCGAGTAAGGAATTAAAATGAGTACAGTATATGCAAATTCACATTATAAATCAAACCATCATATATCTTTTGTAGTTAAGTGATGTAAATGATTTTCCTTGATTTGAATGTAATTGCAATGACTTGAAAGCACATTATACTGTACATTAACAAATGCTTAGCCATGACAGTAAGAGCAAAGTCAACTTCAAATGAAGATAAATGTGTTCTGTTTCTTGTTTATGTCTCACTCATGTTTTGCCTAAAGGCAACTATTAATCCAATGGTAGCAGTTTCCATATATATGCTTCAAGGCTGCATTGGCTGAAAATCTTAAGGGTAGTATTGCTTCTCAGTCAGCTCTTAAAGTAGGAAGAAGTAATTACTAAGGGTTACAAACACCCATCCAGAGAGGGGGGGGAGGGAGAGGGATGGCGGGAGATGGAGAGGGAGAGGGATAGTGTTCTGTATAGAGGGTGTGCCAAAGGGTAGTTCATAGGCCAATCACAATATATTTAATTAAATTTTTCAGAGAAAATGTTGTTATACTTAGAAATGTTCAAAGATCATATGTCAAATGAGGAAGGGTTTTAAAGGAAAATAGCAACCAGTCTGAATGTTTAATGTAATTTATACTATAATTTGTCTAGGAGGCCTGACTTTTTGTACAACTTGAATGCATACATGCAGATAGCACACAAATGTGTAGAAACGTGGTTTTTTTGTGTGTGTGTTTATGTGATTCCACTCACTCAAAGCAAAATATTTTTTTATCATTTAGACTTCTGGAATACTTTTTATCAAGTGTCATGACACCATGTTTCAAATCAGGAAGATACACTTTTGTTGTTTGGGGGATTGTTTCTGATGGTGGGACTTGTATGTATAAAATCTGCAGGAATTTCTTTTTTTTCCCCTTCCTTTGTCTTGAAGAACTATATTAAGCTTTGAGCGCTTAAGGCTTAACACTGTTTAGAAATTATTTGGAAGAATTACTTTAGATTTTGTACAAGCAAACCAGCTCTCTGTTATTTATTAAAGCATATTGTTTTTCTTTCTGGTGTCAGCCTCAAACTGAAAAAGTCTATTACTGCTTTAATAAATTGAAACATTTAAAAATGTACCTATAATGCATGTCTTAAAGTAGCTTGGAAGCCTGAATTATATCCAAAGTAGTTCTTCCAAATCATTTTCAAAGTGTCCAGTATTGTATTTATATCTAATTAAATGCAAATCAGTCTAGAGATAATTGTGTTCAATTTCTAGGGATCCCAAAATGGACCACTTAACAATATTTAGTCAAAAATCAGAGGAATGTAGCAGAGGCATGGTCAAAGCTGAGTAGTTATCAAGGTTTAGTCAATAAACAAGAGAAGAAGCAGAGATTTCCCACTGGAAATTAATTGCTCAGAATAAGGTAATGTCTGTAAGGCTTTACAGATCTTGACCCACTAGTATGGCTGCCTTGAATAAATGGGCAAGGTTCAGAAATACCAGCATCCATAGACATCTGCTTTGTCAATTTACAGGCGGCTTGATTCATGTTAAAGAAAAATACAACTGTATTTGGCAAGTACATTTCTTTTAGCATCATTAGCTTTCTGATAAAGTGTGTTTTGTAATAAATAGGAAACATTGTAGAAGGTCTTTTTTAATGTTCTGGGTTTCTTATGCTGCTTCTGTTGTTGCCACCTCTAAATAGCTCGCATATCCCACAACCATTAAAAAGATTTATAAATAAGAGTAGGCTAGCAATTAACACAGCAAATAATATCATTTCTAATGAATTAGGGCATAATGAAAGTTCAATTAAATAAAATGTTCTATAGTAAGAGGTGACAACCTTATCACATATCAGCTGCCAAGGTCAGCTGAAACACACAGATTTTCATGACCTCCTTGAAGCTTAACAGGTTGGGGCTATTTGGACTTCAAGGAGAAAGCTGTTCCAGAGAAGGAGAACAACCATTGAAAAGGCCCACCTTTATCCCTGTTGAAGCCATTCTTGAAAGTAGAGTCTCCTTCAAGTCAAGCATGACTTCCGGAGACTTGAAATTTTATTATTTAATTCCTCCCTCAGTTTAATCTTCTAAAACATGGTAAACTTTCCAAAAATTACATAGTTTTATATTTTATCATAAAGTATAACACACATTTTCTTCATTTTCTTTATATAAGGACTGGTTAAGGATTTAATGACAAAAAGATGCATTGGTCTATGAAGGTTTAACACTTGTTTGCAGCCAGCACCTCTTTTCAAGATTGGTGAGATTGTAGTAGTGAGGGACAAGTGCACAATTCATTTCTTTGCTTCTCTAAAAAAAAAAAACAACCAAGTACACAATTCCTGGGAAAATGCAGCTTTTTTTAAGAAGTTGCAGATACTGTAGGTGCTAAGTACAGGTAGTTCTGTACAATAGCAATTGGGATTGGAATTTCCATCACTAAGTGATGTGGTTGTAAAACCCAACATCCCATGACTGCACCATTTACCTATAGCCAGTGCTTTTTTTTTGAAAAAGAAACAGGTGCCAGAACTCAGACATGTCATACAACCCGCCTTGCCTACCCTACAAGGTTCCATCCCAAAAAGGTGCCGGAACTCCGTTCTGGGCGTTCTATGACAAAAAAAAGCCCTGCCTATAGTATTTCCACAGTTCCACTATTAAGTGAGGATCTTGGGTCGCTAAATGACCACTTCCTTGCAATTTCCTGCCGGTTTCCAAAAACCAAAGTCAATAGGGAAACTGCCAAGTTCCAGATGTCTTGCAAGTAGGCTAGCAGGAAGGTAAATGGCTGCACAAGTGGTCAGGGAAGCACAGGACAAACATGCTGGGGCTTGGGTTAGCTGCTGCTAGGTCAGGGAGAATGAGCAAGTGGCGGGGGAAGTACAGCTTGCGTGCAGCAAAGCTCAGGGAAGATATACAAGTGGTGATTTATTCAAGCAACTTGGGTATGTCTAGTTTAACGAAGAGAAGGACGAGGGGGGACATGGCAGCAGTGTTCCAATATCTCAGGGGCTGCCACAAAGAAGAGGGAGTCAAGCTATTCTCCAAGGCACCTGAAGGCAGGACAAGAAGCAACAGATAGAAACTGATCAAGGAGAGAAGCAACCTAGAACTAAGGAGGAATTTCCTGACAGAACAAGTAACCAGTGGAACAACCTGCCACCAGAAGCGGTGAATGTGCCAACACTGGAAGTTTTTAAGAAGAAACTGGACAGCCATTTGTCCGAAATGGTATAGGGTTTCCTGCCTGAGCAGGGGGTTGGACTAGATGACCTCCAAGGTCCCTTCCAACTTTATTATTATTATTATTATTATTATTATTATTATTATTATTATTATTATTATTATTATTATTATTACAACTTGTGACATAGCTAAGAGTATACCACCTATGAGAATTAAAATGTAAATCTCTTCTTATGAACAAAATGCCAAACAATGCCTTTGCTAGTAAATTGAACGTGAGTAGTCAAATATATCTATAAATATAACGTTGGCACAGCACTAATTGAAATAATAATAATAATGGAAATGTGATGCTTATTAATATGTAAAATCACAAGTGTTTCTATGTTTTGCATATAGAAAAAGAAACAGGCTATAGAAAATGGACGACAGGAAACTGAAAATACTCTAAGAGAAGGGAATGACATCCTTGGTGAAACTAATGAACTTGCAAATGGAATCAATTTGGCTGTGGAGGTAAAATGTGATATGTGTTTTAAGGGTGGAGGCTATAATGCAATGCAACATAAAAGGCAATCAGCAGGCAATAAAAAAAAATATAATTTGTATTTTCAGATAGAATAAATAGTATATTGAAATACAGAGGATATATATGGCCAAGCTAAATGTTAGGTTAGAGGAGAAGGAAGCAAAAAAACTCTTCCAAAGATTAAAATGACAGTGACATGTTTGAACAGCAGGATTCCTTTATATTTGAATACAAGTAATTAATTAGCATATATTTTTTCAAGTTGTATGTTTGTGTTTNTTTTCAGATAGAATAAATAGTATATTGAAATACAGAGGATATATATGGCCAAGCTAAATGTTAGGTTAGAGGAGAAGGAAGCAAAAAAACTCTTCCAAAGATTAAAATGACAGTGACATGTTTGAACAGCAGGATTCCTTTATATTTGAATACAAGTAATTAATTAGCATATATTTTTTCAAGTTGTATGTTTGTGTTTTTTAATGAGGTATGAATAAATAAGCTGATGCTTTAATTTCCTAGGCATGTCAGATGCTCAGTACCCCAAAAAATTCAGTTAAGAATGATCGTTGAAAAGTAAATTATGTAATTCAACTGTTACTTCTGAGATGTTTGGAAAATGGAAGCTTTTTTCTTGTAGAGGAAGGAAGCTGACTATAATAACCCTAACCAATTGTTTAGGGAGGCAATCAGTGGTGGGATTCAAGTATGTAAACAACCAGTTCTCTGTGTGGATGTCGCTTCCGGAAGTCCATTCTGAGCCTGGGCAACAAAAAATTAGCTATCAGTTCTGCTGAAGTGATGCGAACTGGCTGAATCCCACCACTGAAGGCAATGAACTTCCCTTCATTGGATATAAAAATGTTTGGGATGCGTCAATGGTCATCTGGTACAAATTTGAATGAAGAAAAATATGTTTCAAAACATCACAAGACAAGCCTCAACTTTTGTACCTGCATCAGACACAAGTATGCAAGTCCCATGGTTGATTTCATGACATATGTCAATATTTGCCCCACTTGTCCTTCCATGGAGACACCTGTGGATGCTTTAATTTGGCCTTAAGCATTTAAATGATTGGTCATGATGTTCAATGTTCTCTTCCAGTCATTTGGTTCCATGGGTTTATAATTCTGCTATACTATCCCAAGAGTACTTGAGATGGGAGTAAGACAAGAATACAGACTGGACCTGACAGTAGCCTATCCACCCTAAAAGTCAATTCATTTTATTTCCTGGAGAGAAAAGATGTTCTAATCATATTCATTGTATATACCTATTCCTCACTATAAGCTTTTTCTGACTTGCATTTAAGTATGGGACCATGAAGGCAACTACTCTCTTTATCACATGGAAATAATGTTAATAGGTCAAGTTCGATTTTCAAAGTGCCAAACACATTCTAAATGCAACTTCAGGTGGAGGGGAGGAAATGCTTGGGCACCTCATAAAGCTTTGCTAGATTGCTCCTATGGACAGGGAAATAGAGTGATGGGCTACAGTGAAATGGTAGTTTCCCAGGAAGGAGGGAGCATTACCAAGGAGGGTGATGAGAGAAGAGACGAAGCCCAGTATTGTCTTGGAGAAGGAGGATACTCACTCCCTAGAATCTTCCAGGGTGTATCAGTTAGGTTTAGAGTAGTATAGGCAAGAGTAAGTAAAGAAGTGAACTTTTGCTGGATTGCTCTATGTTGTTCTTAGACTGAACCTGACAGTAGCCTTTGTATCTACCCTAAAAGTCAATTCATTTTATTTCCAGGAGAAAGAAGATATTCTAATCATATTCATTGTATATGCTATTCCTCATTATGGACCTTTTCTAATTTGCTTTTTTTTTAAAAAAAGTTTTTTATTTATAATACAATTAAAACAAAAATGGACATACGTGGCATTCCAGAGTAAATATTCCTAACAATTTGTTTCTCGTGATACAAAAACTTAATACATCATCCTTAACCTCTATATAAACCTCATTCTCCTACACAATACAATTATATATACAATTATATGTACAATTATATGTATGTTTCAATCCTATCGTTAGCTAGGATTTTTAATTTGCTTTTAAGTATGGGACAAATATGTCCAGACAACCTCTTTGTTTTGTCCTGTTCCCACATTGTTGTGTTCGTCTCATCATAGTTTCATGAAAATCTTCAATTTGCAAATGCCTCCTGCCTTAAAAGAGGGCAGCCTGTGTTCTCAGAACTCCATGTTAGATTAGCCCATATTTCTGATTTTAATCAGAAACAAATACTATGCATAGAGAATTGGTTCTAGAAAATTCATGAAGAACAGTTTTATCAATTATAATGTATTTCACAGCATGCTCTAGCTGAAGGCATAAGTTGATGGCGTAATGAAATGTGCTTTTTCGCTAATGGGTTCCTCTCATAACTAATTGGCTAAATTATTTTTCATTATGCCTTTAAGCAAATAAAATCCAAGAAATATCATTTTGAATGTGGCTGAGGTGAGAGTGCTGATGAAATAACAGTTTTGTATTAATTAACAAATCCCACTTTATATACTGATAAGATGTGATTAGTTAAGTTTGTGTAGTCAAGAGGACCATAAAAGTTCAGTTCAGCTTTGAGACCAAGCAGGTAGAATCCTAAACGCAGAAATCTGAACTATAGGTGACAGAATTCTTTTAATGGATGATAAAGCTCATTGATTTATTTCAGTATAATAGGATAATAATCTTGTTACAAGGGGCTATAATTTCAGTGCTTAAACGGTCGGTTACTTAAACATGCTTCTGTTTTCTGCTTCTTAGAACATAGATGATATTAAGAACAAAATAGTCTCGCTTTCTAAGGAGCTAAAGAAGAAAATAGATGATCTCTCTGGAGATATCATAAGAAAGAAGCTTCCAGAAAAGGTACTACAGGCAGAAGCTCATGCTGCCCAGCTGAATGATTCATCTGCTGTTTTAGATGGGTAAGTTGACAAGATTGTTATTTCACTTTCATGGACTCTAGAATTATATAGCTGGGAAAATAGAGGAAACATTTTCTCCTTTAACTCTTTTTGACAATTAAACAGACATTCCCAAACTCCATTATCATATTTGTGTAAGCTGTCCCAAGGCAAGATGGCAATGTCCCAATCTTCCCAAAGAAATAGACTGACTTCAGTTCTTATTCTTGATTTTGGATTGATAAATAGAAAAAAATAAGAGAGAGAAAGAATTTCCAACAAAATTAAGTCCTTCGAACTTTGGAGTGTGGAATCAATGCTCTTTAGCATGAGATGAGTGTTTCATGTTGTGACATTGCAGTATTCTTGTTCTGTGACCTAATCTCAAACATTTGTTTTTTGTTGTTTTTTTCCCCCTGGCTAGAAGCAACCTATAAATTGAAATTCGGTGCATGTCTACACAAAAGAAAATCTGGCTGAGTCCTGTAGGGAATACCTATGTGCAAAAAGACATTAATACATATGGGTCTAGAATTAGCATCTAAAATTCCCCCTTGGGTTTTTAAAAGTTGAATATGTATATTTTTTCCTAATAGAATCCTTGATGAAGCTAAAAACCTCTCCTTCAATGCAACAATAGCTTTTAAGGCCTACAGCAATATCAAGGACCATATTGACGAAGCTGATGCAATTTCTAAAGACGCTAAAGCTCGTGCCAATGAAGCCATACAACTGGTAAGGGAAAGGGAAAATCTTTTGATTTTCTCAAATAATCTTCCTTCAGTATCTTGCTATTTCTCAGCAATTATTTATCAGATACTATTATCGTGCTCATTGATATAGGTTAGTGTTACAACGTTTAACACAATTGCTAATAAATATTTATCAAGAAATTTTAAGCAATGGCCCAAAGTGCATTTTGGCAAATTAAACCTAGTTACTCTACACACAACAAACTCTCCCAAAAAATAGATTTTACTATTTTACTCAAAATATTTGAGTTATTTCTTGGAGGAATTCCATAAAATAGCTTTATCAGGCGTAACCATCACCATCCAGAACCTGTTTATGGTTAATAGCATTAAGATAAGGTTTATTACTAAACACCTACAGTGCAATAAATATCATAAAGTATAATCAAACTACTGCTATTATTATTTAGCTTATTAAATCTCATGTCAGTAGCCAGGTTAGTTTTACAGATTTTTTTCTCTAATTGATACACTAATCAAGTCTCTGCTGGTGGACCAAGAGAAGGACTTCTGCAAATGATTTTGAAGCCTGGATTAGCTGTGGTCTTTAAAGAAGAAAGTCTTTTTAACCAGATTAATCAGTGTATAGGGCTTTTCTCTTTAAATTGTTTTCTTTACTGCCATAACTAACTAAACTAGGCTTATACTCTAACATATATTTACTGTCACAGTAAATCATTCTTATTTACTTTCTTTCCCCTTTGTTTCTGACTCTTCTTTCACATTTTTTATTTATTTAATATTTATTTATTTGTATCCCTTCTTTATTATTTTTACAAATGACTTAAGGAGGCAAACATAACCAACATACTTTCCTCCTCCTATTGCTGTGATATTGCCTTTATTGGCAAATTCACAACATATTTTACAGTAAATCCATTGCCATATGAATTTTCACATAGTTCCATACCCAAGTTTCCCATTTTTCATAGATAATTCATTTGTTTAATCCCAGTTCTCTAGAATGTTCATCACATCATGATGATCTCTGGAGGGCCCGGGATAGAGGCTGTTCCTCTATCCTGGTCCTGCTAGACCTCTCAGCGGCTTTTGATACCATCGACCATGGTATCTTGTTGCACCGGTTAGGGGGGTTGGGGTTGGGGGGCACCATTTTACGGTGGTTCTCCTCCTACCTCTCGGACAGGTCGCAATTTGTGTTGGCAGGGGGGCAGAGGTCGACCTCGAGGTGCCTCACTTGTGGGGTACCACAGGGGTCGGTCCTCTCGCCTCTCCTGTTCAACATTTATATGAAGCCACTGGGTGAGATCATCTGTGGTTTCGGGGTGGTGTTTCATCAGTACGCAGATGACACCCAGCTGTACATCTCCACCCCGGACCACCCCAACGATGCCGCGGAAGTGATGTCCCGGTGCCTGGAGGCCGTGCGAGTCTGGATGGGGAGGAGCAGGCTTCGACTCAACCCATCCAAGACCGAGTGGCTGTGGTTTCTGGCGTCACGACATAGCCAGTTGGCTCCATCCCTGGCTATCGGGTGTGAATCATTAGCCCCCGCGGAGAGGGCCCGCAACTTGGGCATCCTCCTGGACACTCGGCTGTCTTTAGACGATCATATGACAGCCGTGGCCAGGGGGGCTTTTCATCAGGCTCGCCTGATACGCCAGCTGCGCCCCTTTCTGGATCGTGAC